GAAAGCAATGGAAGGGGGTGTGCAGTGGAACCGGCAGATGGCTGGGTAGACAGGTAGCCACCCTCCCCCACCTTTTGTATCCCTGTAGCTTGCACCTCTTGCTACCTGCCCCCCGAGGTGCTCAAGCCCCTGCTACCTGTTCCCCAACATCCCCTGCCTCCTACCCCCTTCCCCCCCCAAACCCCGCTTACTGTTGGGCATGACTTTGGCTCCATTTCCTCCTGGGACACAGAGCACACGAAAGCTCCAGTCCCTGCCTGGCCATGTAGCAGGAGCACTGGTAGCAGCTCCTGTCCTGGGACACTGCTGCATAGACAAACAGGGGCTGGAGCTTCCATGTGCTCTGTGCTCAGGAGGGAAAGGAGCTGGAGTCACATCTGATAGTAAGCAGTGGCGGGGAGGGGGCGACAGGTGCTGTGACTGACTCTGGACCTGACCCAGACTCAGGACCAAAATGAGAGCCATAACAACTATCTGACCCTTGCCTTGTCCTTGAATCCAAAATTAAAGTCTCCCTCCCCACCCATGCTGAATGGAGGGAAAAGCCTGGTCTTGGATTTGAGTAAGGACAGTATTTATAATTAAATGCATACCATCAGCTGAAAGGATGAAACAATGGTAACACGTCTGCTGCTCTCTTATTTTCTGAATACAGAACCAGTTCAAGCTACGCAACTTTCTGCATTCACTGTGCCCCTTATTGAAGATACTGATATCTATCTGAGACTTTCTCTGATAGTATAATTTTATAGATAAAGGTCCAGCTTGTAAGCTCTTTGGACCAACAGTAATTTCATGTTCTCTGCTTGAACACAGTTTAGCACAACGGGGTCCCAATCTGTGACTAGGGACTTTAGGCACTAATATTATACTGAGCAACAGATAAAGCCAACAAGCCATGCCAAAGTCATGCCACTGTGTCTGCCAGACAACAGCAAGTCTGCCTAGAAAACTGAGCAGAGAGACATGAGTAATGCTTGAAGGAATGTACAGAACATGAGCAAAAGAGAAACAAAGCAGGCCAAGAGCAGGAGAGAAGACAAAAGGCTGCATTACAAAATAGGATTTAAAACTCCGTTTGCAATTTCTCAGCAGCTGACATTCAAACTTTGGCATGTTGTTCTATACTGTACTGATGGGGAAAGTAGCTAACACTATACCATCATAACAACAGGTAAAATTAACCTTATGACCACAGAACCCAGTCGCAGTCCAGCATATTAAAGCTCAGAGCACAGGGAGACACAAAGTAAAGGGTCACTGTGGAAATTTTATCAGCTTCCTTACAGACTTTTGTTTTTCAAGAGATGACTTTTAATTTTAATTCCAATATCATTTTGTAATAATTAACAGTTAAACCTCAGAAAATAAGCAACCCATTTTTCTGGCCAGAAGCAAAGTTTCACATGTATTAAATCCAAAGTTAAATATTAGTTACTTGCTTCCACTCTACTCAAATAACCCCACCATCAACTGATAATTATAGACTTGTAGAATTAAAATAAATTGGGGAAAAGATGCTTGTCTGGACAAGCAACATCAGCTCTTTTTAAGTGCTAAGACCAGTCATTCAAAGTTTATGCTCCTTGCCTTGAAGGTGAAGAGGTAGACAAGAAATGTGCATCAGTGCCCAGAAACTAGGTCAAAGAAAAACAGAACTGAACATGGATTAATGCTATGATGTAGTTGCTGATAAGAGAAGGCATATTTTAATATGAAAAACAGCAGGCCACAGTGAAAGGAAGATGAAAGCCTAAAGATCAGAGCAGAGTATAAATAAATTATATGTTTATTAAGATAATGCTTTGACAAAAAGTTGCTTCCCTTTAAACACCCATTAAAGTTAATGTGATCTAAGCACATGGTTGGGTGCTTTGCTGAATGAGGGCCCTCTTGGTGTTTATTTGGACACGTGGGAAAAGATAGCCATATTCATGAGTGCCTGGGATACCATCATCATCCCAAAGAAGAAAATTGCTTAAATAAGTATAAAAGCAAGCTAGCTCCATTAGTTCTGGGTGGCCTGAGGAAGCACATCCCAACAAAAATCCTATCTCCTGGTACTGAGAGGGTAGAATTGACACCCTCTGCTCCCCCTTCTCCAAACACAACCCACCACCTAACCTCATCTAGAGGACACTGAAGACGAACTAGAAAAACAAAATTCTTACTTTACAGCAAGTCGACTCTGCTCTGCAGTGAGGTCCTCAGCTTGTCGACCTATCCCTAGCAAGAATAAATAATAAGCAATGACACACTACAATTAAATAGGTCTCTTCCAAAAATACCTTCAGAAAATAAATTCCCACACCCAAAGGTTATATCCTGCATAAAATTATTATTGTCTGAAAGCCTAACACCTTCTTGCTTTTCATCATTACCAAGAGTAGTACTTTATTTCAGCTTCCATCTCTCCAGTTAAGCATGCTCACCCTCAAAGAACTGCAGTGAGGAACTGAGTAAAGGTGTATTACTGCTTGATCCTCCCCTATCAGCATCTCCTATTGGATAGATTTCTCCTCCTCATTCTTTCTCTTCTAAAAAAGCTCTGCCTTAACTTCAGCTTCACCTTCCGTAAAGAGTTTCCCCCGTAGACAGTGAGCCCCCTGATACCCATCCACCAGCATTGATTCCCAGTGCCTTCTTCTAACAGCTGTTCCATGATATCTTTATTCCCAGAAGCTGTTGGTCCAATTAACCACAAAACTCCTGCTGGCCTCCTTATGAGGAACAGAACAATTCACAGCAAGAGAACTGGTCAAGGGAGAAGAAGTGGCACCCAGCATGGGAAAAGAGGGGTTGTTCAGGACTTAAAGTCAAGAAGTCCCAACTCAGTCTCCTTTCCTTTTTCCCTGGAACAGCATCCTAACCATGAAATCCACATCTTGGTTGCAAGACAGACACTAATGAGCTTAAACACTGCGTTAATAAACAAAACCCCTTATGGTAATGTGACATTCAGCAATGATCCTGAATACTCCATAGTAATGAAATGCAGAAGTGGACACCATTATCATTATATAAACTGTGTAACCCTATGCAGACTGGATACTTCATAGCATGCATTTAACAGCAAGCATTATTCTGCTCTTTTTTTTCCAATATAGCTTCCTTGGATTCTTCTCCCCACAAAGATCTAGGCAGCACTCCTGGTCTTGAGAAGCTTACAAATGCTGCATGACAGCCACTAGCTGGCTTTTCAGGAGTTAAAGCAGTCTTCTACCTTCACCAGCACAAACTAAGAGACTAACTTTTTGCTCATGGAGCAAATCCAAATAGACAGACATAGATATATAGAAACTGGAATTTTATAGCCTCCTAATTCTCCACGTTAGCAAAAAATTACTACAAAATACATGCCATACAAATGTCCTCGCTTTACTGCTTATTTTTATGCTCTCTCCCTCTCTGTTAGTAAGTAGTGAAAGCACCTGTACTTCAAAAAACATACTTCTGGTTCGGGTTATTTGAAATGTTTGATTTGCTTGTTTTGATTTAGAGTCAGTTGCATGAATTTTCAGATAGAAACTTGTGAGCATCTGAAATGAAAACAACTTCTATTTCACCTAGTTCACAGATATGTACTTTGGCAAGGTAATTAGCACTTATCAACATAATTAATATTGGGATTTTTTGTTAATGGTACTGCCTCTGCTTACACATTGCCCTTCTCTACATCTGTTTAGTGACCCACTGAATACAGTTTAATGGTATGTGTACACTGCAGACTACAGCACAGTGAAGAGAAGGGTTGGCAAGCTGGTCAATTGACCAGTCAATATTGTCAATTAACCAGTCAACTGACTGCATAGTTTTGATTGGTCAAAGATTAAAGCAATTTTACAAAAAAAAAAAAAATACTGCATTGTTTGGTAGTTTTCTTGACAGAAATATGATTTTTTAATTGTTTTTGACACACTTCTTAATGGAAAATTTGTGCTTTTTCTGCATGTTATTTGGACCTATTGGTAATAATTTACAATTTTTGACTGATAGTTGACCAGTCAATTGACCGAATTTTATTTGACCAGTCAAATACCCAACCCTAGTGTAGAGATATCCAAGCTAGCCCATTTGAAGCTTCACACTGCTGCAGCTAGGCTGCTTCAGGTATCCAGGGTAGAGGTATCTCTATACAACACTAAATTCCACAGTGTAAACCTTATTTAAGCCTTAAATCATTCAGTTCTCTGTGGCGGGACCGTCTTGTTTGTACAGTGCAATGAGCAACAGATCCTTGGGAGCCCCTATGTAAACAAACAACAAAAATAATTATAACTGGAATGGAAGAGCCTTGCACTGTAGTGAGAGCAGGCATTCTGCTGGAAAAGAGCACCATTTGTGACAGCCCAATAAAGCAAGGGCCTAGAGGCCATATTTGTTTTCTTACCTATCATTTTGGTTGCCCTTGCTCTAGATAGAGGCTATAACCTTCCCATTGCAGTTTACAGGCTATCATCTCTCAAGACTAAACCATTCTTTAGCTAAACTGGCAGGGTATTTCAAACATTTCATCTTAGTCTCTAGTACTGGCCAGGGACTAAACATATCACTGCGCTTTTGATCTCACATCAGCAAGAGTCCAGCATAACTGAAGGGAAGGCATCGGCATTATCCTGGTATTAAACAAATATTAGATGAGATTAGAGTCAGCGGCTAGACCAGGGGTGGGCAAAATGGCAAATCTGGCCAGCAGCCAGATTCCATTTCCCACCAGCCCCTGCCTGCATTGCTGTGGCCGGTTTCCATGAAGACCCAGGAGCACCAGGGCTGTGACAGCGCGGGGCACAGTTCCCACGGAGACCAACCCAAGCAGCGCTGGCAGGGCGCATGGCTGGGCATGGAGCTGCTCCAGGGCTGAATTTTGCAACAGTGATAGTGTGGGTCAGGGCTGGGACAGAGTCCCAATCCTCAACCTGTGCGCCCCTACCTGGAGGTGCAGAGGACTACCCAGAGAAAATAAAGCAGTATCTTGGCTTTTGTTTTGGGAGGGAGTTTTTGTTTTGTTTCATTTTGTTCTTCTTCTATAACAAGCAGGTTTAGATTCCAGAAGAATCCTGAAAAAACTGGGTTTTTTCCACAAAGTGCTGACCTTGTTCACCAGAGGAACTCACTGAGCTAAATTTATGCCTCATATAACTGCACCAAAGAAAAAGGTCTGGAGTAAAACAAAGCTGTCTTTAGGAATATCAGGAGGTTTACTTGCTTACCATCATGGACTTGAAATGCAAGAGTTGTGATCTTCTGCGTAACAATCATCAGTGGACTATAACAAAAGATACAAAAAGTGATGAACGCCTTTTCACACACAATATATAAATCCTTCCTACATTACTGTATATACAATTAATCAGTATGTGTAAGCTTTTAATAGCTTACACTCACAAAAGATCTTTTTTCACTTATAGTTTGTCAATGAATTTTATAGTTATTACCGCTTACGACTAAAAATGGAATACGCCACATAAACACTGAAACTTTAGGAGGAAACTAGCTAGGCTAGGGGTTGGCAACCAAACTACAAAGTCACCACATTAGGCTCACAGAGCCAAAAGGCTTTGCCTCTGCCCGTGCCCACACTGGGGCCAGGCAGCTGGAAGTCCTGTCCACATTGCCACTGCAATGTCCCCTGCTTCCTGGGTGCAGTGTGGAATAGCTTCTAGCTGGAGAGGAATTGAGCTGGAGCTAGGCAGCTTCTAGTTCTGCCCATGCTGCAGACAGAGTGGGCAGGGAAGTAGGGGCCTGGGAGAGGCAAGTGGGAAGAAGCAGGAGCAGTGCAAGCAAAGTTCCCAGCTGCCTAGCCATGGAGTAAGTCCCCTCCAACTGGAAGGTGCTCTCATGTACCAGCTGGTAAGCAGGGGCCTGAGAAAAGTGACGCCAGCACAGCTCCCAGCTGCCTGGCCCCAACATGGATATGACAACCCGCCCCCCCACCCCTTGCTATTAACATGCTGCAGAAACCACCTAGTCCATGCCGGACTGGAGCTGGGTTTTTCCAGCCAGCAGCTTGAAAAGGTTGCTGGCCCCTGAGCTAGGCAGAATGTAATTATTCAAACTGAAAAGTGGGACAGGATTGTGAAGTTAACAATTCTCCAGAACACTGCAGAAAGGTCTTTAATCAACAGACACATTCAGAACTTTATTTTAGATCTCATTCAAAACATGGTACCTTCAGCAGCAGAGTACAGAGTACCAGGCAAGCCTACTCAGAAGAAATGATACCATTGTATACATTACTATCACCTTGGCAATCTTTCATTCATGTAATGACCAAATTCGAGCCTTGTGAGATTTGACATCTCACAGTGACAGTTATAATATATCCTTTGTTCTCCCTTACTTCTACTCCCCTCTAATGAGTTTTGTCCCTGAAATGACTGGGCTTAACCTGATCCTGCAAACATTCACACATTCTAGTTGTGCCCATCTTCAAGCACATGAGGAGTCCTATGAAGTCCAGTGACACTACTCATATATTTGCAGTGTTGTGGTATTAACCTAAGCTTCTGGGGACAGGAAACTTGCCTAATGAATGTTCTTAGCCAAAAATCATACATAGTTCCTCATCACTGTTTCTCAGAGTGCAATACAAAAGATGTCAGAATCCCATTTTACAGATAAGAAAACAGGCACAAAGGGGTGAAGTGACTTGTCTAATATAACCTACCAAGCTAGCGGTTGAACTGAAAACAGATCCCAGATGCCCCAAGTTCTACTTCACTGCTCTGCCCACTGCCTCCTCCTCTATTACTACTACTTGTAATATTGTGACTGGGATATTGTATATGAGCATGAAAACATTGAGTTACTTTAAGGAATATTTTAAGGGCCTTATTTATAAGGGATATATGTACAAGGAATTATTAATACAGAAGAGGTCTGGAGTAAGTGAGGAACAGTACAACACAACAATTCCAAATGCAGAAGCATTAACAAAATACAAGTGTTACACAGGTCAGGTTTTCAACCCACATACTGCTTTATTTTTGTACTACTAAAATTAAAAACATCTCTCTCTACAATTTCAGAAATCATGTCTACATAAATTATAGCTACTATCAATACCTCTTCCTATTAATAATATATTTACCAGATTTCTGGTACACAGAATGTGGCCGTACTTCTCACTGTATGTAAAGAATTCTGGAGAGAAAAATACTTGCAACAGAACTGGATCACTACTCAAAATGAATAATTTTAAACAAAAATTGTTTATTTTATTATGTTTTTATTTTTCTCAGGTGTACACAAATTTCATTTGAAAGCACAACAAAAACAATTTAAAAATGCAAAATAAGCCCAGTGATGGTCAGAGCTGGCCATGCTGTTGAAATGAATTCAACATCCTTTTTTCTTCTAAAAAGAAAACTGCATCATTCATCTTTCTTGACAGTAATAAGCATTTTACAGAAACATTCCAGTGGGTGAGTTTAAATCATGCGCTTTAGAATCAAAAGTGTACACCTAAAATTTAAGTGCTTGCCTTTGAAAATTGGAGCTCCTGCTCTAAGCCAATGAATATGAATACCACAATGCAAGCGTTCAGGAGCACAGATTAAAATGTGCACAAAAACAGCCTTTGTTAAAATGTCCCAGTATAAGAATGCACAGAAAATAGGAGAGAATCTTTCTTTATCGATATCAGGAATTTATTAGTCATAATATATATAATATCTAGACACTGAGTAAAGTAAGTCAGTTTAATGTGAAAAGAATGACAAGCTCTCCCTCTGAAATTTGAACTCCAAATGAGGCAACCTTTCACAAAAAATGTATTTATTTCGCATCCCTATACTGAAAAACCAACACAATCTTTAAAGGGAAACCACTTATGGGAAAACAAAAGAAGTCACACTGTTCTACCCAGGCAGTATGTTCAGCATGTTTGATATAGAAATGACTAAGTCAGGAAATATACAAAGACATTACAAGAAGGAAAAACAGCCTTAGAATAGCTCAGTAGCCTCCACTGTTCAAACTGACCCAATATCCTCTTGACTGGGGTTATCCAACTAACAAAAGGATAATTTGTGGCCCCCAGGCTCCCACGCAGCTGCCATTCCTCCTATTGTTCTAGCTGCAGCAGCAGCTGGGGTTTCTGGGCTTTTCCCTCCTCCAGATTCTGCTTCCTGTCCAAGGCCAGGTAACATAGTCTGTGGCACTGGAGGCATCTGTGGCTGAGGGTGCCTGCGTGGACACAATGCAACAGGGGTGGGGGCACTTGTGGATCCTTAAGCCAACACTGGTGCGGCCCCTGGCTGCTTATAAGTTGGACAGCCTGATCTAAACTATTTAATAACCTTCTTAAGGAAGGTGGAAAACTGCCTTACAGTTTATCCTCTAACCAGAACATTCAGACTGCTTTCATCCTGTCCCAACCAGCATGGGAACACCACTTTTGGAGGAGGTTAAAAATACTGCAATGGAAGTGGCCAAAGCTAAGACACAGTGACATGCTGGGAATACCTGTATAGCATTTTAAATAATAGTCAGAAAATATCTAAGGTCTAATTAGATCTGCCTACCACATTAGTTAAAATATTTTTAAACATGATTTAAACACGTTCATGCAAATACACTTTGCAACTAGCCTGCCTCATTAGCACAGCCAAGAGGAACAAGTCATGTTATAATCAGTATTTTCCAAGGGATTAGGTACAGTACTCTAGAAAAATAAATCGACCAAACAAACTGAGCCCAATTTGTTCCAGGTAATACTATTGAACAGTCTGGCCCACCATATCTAAAAACAGTTCCACTGACAGTTTCACTATCTGTGTGGTTGTTGGCAAAACATTTAACGTGGTCAAGCATTAACAAATATTTATTTTAAATTGTCTACTTCATCTTGGAATTGAAGTAAAAATCTCACACAGGCAAGTTCTCTTGTTTAACTGTCCAGGTTGCTTGACTTTATTACTATGCCAGAAATATTGCAACCTGCAGTAACCTGTTACTTCTGTTTTCAGTGTAAGCCTGAAAATCCTGAAGCATGCACATGAAAATACAGGGCTGAGTTTTTCATACATCAATTGGTTTCCAGTTTGTTTCATGTTATGAGTGAAAGCTCAAGTCATTTTTAATTAAAAAAATCAGAACCATTCTAAACAACTGCAAGTCACAGCTTTCATGAGATAATTATTTCTTCATTATTCCTTGCAGTCAAAGGTTGCCTTCTTTCAGAAAAACAGTTTTTTCCTAGAGATGTTTCATAAGATATTAATGGGTTATAAAGCTTTCCAATTCTAATTCACTGGTTTGAATTTATGCAGGCTGGTAGATAACACCTGATGGCTCTTAGACTATTCATGTGTAATCAGAGAGTGATCTCAGTCAAGGCCCATGAAGATATATACTTAGCAAAGCTGTCAAGCAATAAATGGATTTACAGAAGAAACTATGTTTTCCCCTTACAGAAGAGAAACATATTAGCAGAGACACGTCTTTTATTAATATAACCCATTCTGTGCCTGGTCTGTGTGTAGAGGTCTTCAGTCCCCAGAGTTACCTGCCCTGAAGTTATGCTTGGAAAAAAAATAAATTTGATGTCATTAATTCTAAAGGGAAAAAAAAGCAAGCTTACTCTAGGGAGTGTTTACTGTTTCTGTACTTTGTTTTAATATGGTACAACGATAAGAGAACACTTCTGAATCACTTTCCATCATCAAGTATACTTTCTTTGTAAAAATTGGCTATTGTACCTCTGCTGCTATCTTTTGTGCTTGATACAAAACCACTGGGAGGAAAAAAAACAACAACAGAGCATTAAGCATCAAAAGATAAGTCATTGACTTATGACACTCACTGCTAAAAACCTTCTTAAAAGGCTTTCCTAGAATTTAAATTTGATTATGTTCATTTTTAAAGTGGCTTGCTAACCATGCTGCTGTTGATCCCTTTGGAATACAGCCAGTGCTGATTAAATGTTTTGCTCCAATAGTCTTAGAAAACGAAGTCCCCGATTAACCTACAGAGCAGTACAGCACAGAGTTAAAGTGAAAGATTTTGCACATCAGTCAGCCAGTGCATGTCATATTAGGGAAGAAACATTACATCTTAAGGATGACAGGCTAGTTCAGCTCCAAACTAATCCAACCACTGGCTTCTCCGCCAAGACTCTAAATAATAGTACCTATTACTGCCCATTTTTATGATGATTTTTGAATTTCTTCCAATGGGAATGGCACCGAGGTAGCCAACATTTCACATAAAAACTGTATGGTACTCCCTGGCCTTCATTATAGACATTCTTTAAATAGTATTGGTTTTTGGTCATACACTGGGTAAATTCCAAAAAGTAATCAACCAGTGAAAGACTGCATGATCCTACCTGAGCAAAGAACTCAAGCATTTACATAACAATGTATAAAGTCCCACTGATCCAATCAGTTATGTGCACAAAATTAGATATAGGCTTAAGTGGTTTGAGTAGAAACCATGTCCTTCCCTATTTTCCAGACCTAAAGGTCCTGAACGTACGGAGTTCATTGGGCTAGCAAGGTCAAGCCATCCCAGTTCCTATAAACAACTGCACACAACAAAATTAAGTGGGTAGTATGACATCTGGCCTCTTTTATCTTCTCAGCCTTAATGACCAGGTATGGTACCAATTTATAGTTATGTTGAAAGGGTACCACCTCTCAACCTGTGTCATAAGCAAGACTTACTACACAGAAGAATAACATAAGGCTCTGCTACCATGGCCCTTTAGAAAGCATCACACTCCCTTGATTTTTTTAAACTCGCTCACTTCTGCTTATAGGTGTAATATTATATAGCATTAATATTACTATATTGACAGTCATGTCTATGACCCTAAAGAAGATAATGTAATATTAGTATTACCATTGTTATAAAGTATTTAAGAAACCCAAAACAACTCACCAGCATAATCCTCTTAGCAAAAAGAAGAAAAAGAAAAAGAAATCAGGATAAAAGAAGAAATAAATAATCCTAAAAATCCTAAGAAAAGTAATTCAATACAAATGTTCACATCTTTAAAAAAAAAGTAAATAAAACTGAAGGTAAAACATTGCATTCAGCTATTTAAAATAATTAAAATCCAAAGGTGTTTACTAAAACTAACAATTGTTACTGAAACGTTGTTTTCATGATTTCATTTTTAAAAATTAAAAACTTAGACCTTTCAACCAGGATGAATAAATGCCATGACAACTTTTAATTTTTCATCAACAGCAACAAAAAATGTTTATTAAGATACCACAACCAGCTCTATTGTTGTCTTCATGGTGTGAAGCAGTGCTCCAACTTAATTTTTGGTCTCCTAGGGGAGCATCTACACAAGACATTTTAAGGCGCATTAGAGCACGCGTCTACATGTGCGTGCCCTTAATATACTTTAAAAATGGTGAGGTTCGGCTAATTGCATGAATAGTTAAAGCACATTAACACTGTGTGTGGACTGATTTGGAACTAACTTTAGTCCCAAGTCAGTCCATCACAATGTCAATGCACTTTAACGCCTGTACATGTAAATACCTGCTTAAGCCCATTTAATGTGCATTAAGCTAATGTGAATTAAATGTAGGCACACTTAAATGCACATGTAGACATGCCCTAGAGGAATTAACATAGTCACTATTAGAAAACTAATAGATGCTATCCCTGTCTTTGAAGAGATTAATTACAATGATTAGGGACCTACTAAAATCGGGATGGCTGCCCCCTGATTTCACAGGCAGAACGCAGGGTCCAACAGTCATTTTGTGGCAGGAGTACAGCACCTCCCCCCACACATGATTGGCCAAGGGGCTCTGGGGGGGTCCTAACTCTCACCACTGACTGGCTGAGAGGGCTGCCTGTTGTATTACTCTGCCCCTTGTCACCAATTGGAGAGGGATAGTGCCACATGACAAGCAGTCCTCACATCCATTCAGTGGCAAGGAATGGGGGTGGCAGCCATCTTGCCAGCAGCCCTTTAAGTGGGCAGGCCCCCCGCCACTCCCTGCCCTAGCAGGCTGTCATAGTACCCTGAGGATTACTGGCTCCCTCTGGGGATACAGCATTTTAATTTTCAGCAAGTCTTCCCCCACCCCACCCAGCAAATTTCACAGGCATGCCAGATTTATTGGGCAATGCCAGATTTCGCAAAATCACAATTTTGGTAGGTCCCTAACAATGATATAAAATTTGATGCATTATTTTCTATTTTAAGACATAAAATGGATTTGAAAGTTACCAATTGTCCTTCCACAGGTATTTCCTGCTCCCAAAATAGGAAAAAAGCAAAACAAAACATACCTGCCCGTTATTATGGGATCAAAAATGCATTGCAAGTGTAAGTTAAATGATGGTGAATGCAAAATCAGGCATCTGTACATTTTGGTAGAAACACCCTGAATACCTTCATTCAAAATGACAAGCCAAATAGTAAAACTGGAAGGCTGAGGATATTAGAATTAGAAGACAGATGCTTCTTTGCTATCACGTAGAGTGCACTCCGAGAAAACACTTTCTGGTGTCTAGCTGCTAGAAAATCCTGTGACCCAAGGTAAAAAACTAACAGAGTTTGTTTACCTGCTTATTCTTCAGATTTCAAAAACAAAACATGTATTTTATGTCTATTTTCTAAGGTAGGGACCCTTCAACATAGTTTTACAATTGCTGAGTGATCTGTTTAAAGCATGAAGCCAGGAAGAGGATGATTATCCTAGATTATCTGAGTTAGCTGCAGTCTTATCATCACCTTGGGTCTAAGCATTAATGAGAGCAACCCTTTGGCATCAAGAGAGCATAAAATAGCCCTGAATCCATGAAGGACAACCACCTCTCCAATGAAATTTAATTAAATTTCCTTTGAGTAGATCTACCATACATTACAGTGCATTCGGATATACATTATGAACAATGGTCTTTGACATACATACTTCTATAACATTCCAATCCCATTGACCAATTTGTTTTGTCATGTTCAGTGTTGGTATGCTCATATGTAATTTAAAAAACCCCCATAAGAATAACCATAAGAATCTTACAAAACTAAGTTTCTCTGAATACATGAATACCTTTCCCCTCTTAAAGCCCAAGGACTTACTGAGGTCCCTTCCGACCCCAACATCTATGAATCTAAGTGTCTCAAAACCGTCTAGACCAGGACACTAAATACATTTAAAGAAATAAAGACACATTCACAGAAATAGCCTGTGTTTGTATTTTTATGTCTCCGCTGAAACTAAGGCCTAGAAAAGGCTCCTGCAACATACTGAATAGACTGAAATGGTCATGTTCTGCCTCCCTCATGCAAAAAAACCAACCAAACAAAAAACAAAAAACCCAAAAAGATTGTTTATATCTAATGGAAAATGAATGACTATGCTTTTCTTTTTAATGCAGCAAATTTCTGCGTTCCAAGAAGTAAGATTAATAGCAAGAGCTAATATCTGTAATGATTTAGTCACTCTTCTGATACAGGATATCACAACTTTTGTAAGGCCCCTTTTACTGTTTTGGTGCCAGAAAATCGTTCCCAGCACATAGATTCCCCAGTAGGACCATGTTCTATGTGGAAAAGACTGAGAAAAGAAAAAGAAAGCATACCAAGGTAGACTATTTAAATTATATTACCAGTTAATTAAATTAACTGCCCCAGTTAAAAAGGGGGAAAAAAAACTTAATGACAATGCAGGCTTAGACGCAGCTAAAGTTTACCTCATTTATATCTACTTCAGTTACTTTTACATGTCCTAAGAGACCCATCCTCCCACGCCCAAGCAAGTTTTCCTCTCCTCCAGTAAAACTTATGTGGGGCAACCAGGCTTCCCAGATTGGAAGAAGAGATCCCTGGGATCTTCTCTGCTTTTTAACCCAAAAGCAGAGAAGCCGAATCAAAAAAGAGAAGGCCTGGGCTTCTTAAGCAATAGTGGCAACCGTGTCTTATTGTCCCAGTGGAGAAGGCATAAGGAAAGTAGCAGTCTACCCAAACAATCAGAACAGGCTTCATGAGCTAGCAGTAAAGCCCTGGCTCACTGCTTCATTGGGAGTAGAAGATGGCTCAACCCTTCTCCTCTAGTGAAACAACCCAGAGATCCAAACATCCTCCGAAGAGTAACTCCACAGCCTAGGGATTCTCTCCCCCAACCCCAGAAGATAGGCAGACCCTCTCACTCTGCCTAAGCACTGGTCTGCAGGAATACACCCAGGAACACATGGCTGACTGACAGAAATTGTGAGTCACTGTAGGATCGTGCAGTGATTATTCTGAAAAAAAATCCTTTTTTGAAAGGATAAGCAAACAAAACTGCAGAAACACACTTGAATATCCTGGCATGCTTCTAAAATGTACTGAAGTAAGAGCCTAAACAACAAATAATAAATGACAGCATTCAGCTTAAATACTCACCCAGAGAAATCTGTAGTAAGAATACCATAATGGAATATGCATAGTCGACTAATGTGGCACAATGTGAGGTATCCTATGGCTACAGCAAAGGAGTACCTAAAAACGTGTCATATAAAACAGATTAGTCACCAACACAAGTTTCGGCAGATATTTGTGTCAAGCTCAGATAAACAACAACAACAACAAAAGCAGGGTAATTTTTTAGCTATTGGGATGGTTACAAGTCTTCTACCTTATATTAAATGTTCTATATACATTTTTCAGAAGTAACTGGTGATTTTGAGTGCCCAACTTGAGACACTATAAAAATAACTGATTTTAAGGGCAGATGCTGAACATTTCATGAAAGTCAGACAGATGTCTCAGTTGAGAACCCAAAAATTGAGAGCTTCAGAACCAGTCACTTTTGTAAATTTTGGCTTAAAAATAAAGTTTTAGAAACCAAATACATTTTAAATGCACACTGTTCACATTATTCAGTCTCTTTTCCTTTCTATAAATACATATAAATGTGTACACACACACAAACTCTCCCCTGATTTACTTGAAATTCTGGTACTTCAGGTTTATAAGCAACAGAGAGAAAGAACACAATAGCTGTATACTTTTGTGCAACAACACTTGAAAGACTATTCCTTTCAGCTTTTGATGATGAAATATGTTGTTATTCCAAGTTCTTCACATAGGACATACTCCTTAACTATGACTTGAAAAACTTCTTTGCAGTTTCTCCAGGGTAAGTGTAAAATCAGGTCATGAAGGCAGGTTGGGTAGCACTCAGCTTCCTGATGTTCCAAAGGTTTGAGGAGTACAGGACAAAACAGTGATCCTCAGACCCTATTGCTTCCTCTCCCTATCCCATTTTCACCCTGCACATGGTGTAAACAAAGGTAAGGCAGGGATGACAGTCTGGAGAGAGACTCAATGCCTTTGCACCAAAAAAACAGTGGCAGAAGGTGATCGGTGAGAGACAAGGCAAGCTGAGACTGTCCAATGCAAAGATGGAGCCACCAGCACCAAGTCAGCTTCAAAGCAGGGGACAAAATAGAAGATAAAATAGCAGAAGTGGCCTGTGAGTTGGTGAATATAGGCCAGGCCTTTGTTACTGGGTGGGAAGACCTTTTAAGAGAGATGGGCCATCTGTGACTAATTAGTTGCTACCTAGATGACAGCAATGGGTTTTAAGTCGGGGATCAAAGTGATAGCTTGCAGGTCACTTGATCTATACATGAGCAAACAGCTCAGTCAGGGAGATAAACATGAAGAAACTGGAAGGACTCCTGCAGGAGATACTGGGTTAGAGGAATGTCCTGATGTGGTGCCTCGGTGACAGGAGAGACCTGGCTAAGCACAATGGGATGGGGTGGGTAATGAAATGGGAGGTAGAAAGGAATTGGGGGTGGGTTGGAGTGGTGAAATGAAGTCAGCCAGCCAGCCAGCCACTGAAGGATGAAATAAAAAGAAAAAAGAGGAAGTAAATTAAAGAAGGTCTCTGTGGCAAGCTTAGGGCCGCATATCAAGTCAGCTCGCCCACCTGTCTACGTAGTCCGCCCCGTCTCTCCTGCCACAACTTTGCTGTTACAATAAACTGCTGGTAAATGCAGGAGATTGCCTATTATCTACCCCGATGCCAAGGGGCACTATCCACAGCGTC